GTCTTGTCGCGGCCTTGAACTGAACTTGAAACTTTAAACGCGAATATCTCGAAATGGTGTTTCTTGAAAAATGACTTTGCGGTGACATGGATTGGCGGAAAACTACTGAACCGATTTACTTCAAATTTTTTTTAAATGTTCGTAATGAAATTCTTGTGTGCTTGAACAATCGACTTTTCACGCACAAACTTTTTTTGCCGAAATGAATTTTTTAGTGAAATTTCTAGAGACAAAAAGCATAAATCATTCATTTTTAGCATAAATCGTTCCCGTATGCATACAAACAAACAAAATTTTAAAATCGATCGTTCAACCACAAGGAAATACACTAAACTAATGAAATTTTTTTACTTTTATGGTTTAAAAAAAAAAACCTATTTGACCTGGGGAACTGTCACCGCAAGGCTCTAAAAAAAAAAAGCCTCTAAGGGAAACAGCCACCCCTTAAAAACTATTTAATATTTTTCCACCAAATTTTGCACAATCATTGTTAATAAAGTGTACTATCAAAATATTAAAACATCCCTGTAATTAAATAATTGCTACATACCTAAAAAAAAATCCGAACTTTGCTCTTTTTTTTCGACAAAGAAGGTATATAACCCCTTAACAAAAAGTATAATCTTCGATTCAAACATACAAACATGGAGTCACAGCACATTTTAGGAAAAATACGCGGAAATACCTACTCATTGTCATCCGATACAAAGGAGGGAGCTTTATTTGAAATATTTTTGAAATAAGAAGGACGGAACTATTTTGAATGGATTTTTATTTTTTCAATCCTGTAAAACTATTTTAAAAAATTTCTCAAGTTTAACTTGTTAAGACTTCTCTCTCTTTCTCTTAAGCGAACGGTCGTGTTTTTTTTGTGCGCACTGCATTTATGATAAATATTGGTAAACCGGTGTTTACTTGTTGAATTAAATATATATGTATTGAGAATCTTAAGAATCTTAAGCTTAAACCGTACCGCATCGCGAGTGCTGTGGTATATTTCGAGTCGAATTAATAATTTGTCTAATATCTCTTCCAAGCATAGCTTAGCTCTGCTTCTTCCTCGTCTTATCTCTACTTCTGCATTTTTCTTTTGCACTCTCAAAAGCTCCCGCTTCGGCTTCCTATTTGACACAGTGGTTCAAGGTATAGAGTTTTTTAACTTTTTATCAATGAAAAATATGGAATTTAAACTGGTCTGCTCTATAAAGTCTTGTAACAAGACAATTTCCTCATCCCAGCCTACCGTCCATTGCTGGCTATGTGAAAACGTCGTACACGCCAAGTGTGCCGGGTTCACTGCCTCAGTTTCGGATGCCATTTCCCGTAGGTCTGGTATACACTATTGTTGTGAAAACTGTCGTGCTGTCCAAGGCGAAATGAGGTCGTTAATGAGACAGACCAAGAATGGATTTTAAGAGTTGATCACTGGTTTTCATAAAGCCAATGACCAACTCTGTGCGCTTGATACTCAGTTTAGCAGCCTTCAGCTACTAACAGAGTCTCCTAAGCGTAAGAAATCCGCTGTTTGTGATCCGCCTCAGTCTACTCAGCCGTAAATAACGCAGCCCCTCATATCTTTGGCCACACCAAGGGCTAGAACTGAGAACACTTCGCCGTCCGAATTTCTCAAGGAAAATGAGCAATTGTCTGAGCAAATGTCCTCTGTGGTATCCCTTCAAGTGATACCACAGGTCCTAGTAAATGAAATGAAACCCCCATCAGAGTCACCCAAAAGGGTATTCCCAAGTCCGGACCACCGGCACCGACTGATGCTGCAGTTCTCGTGCATATATTTGTTTCTCGGCTTGCCCCTGATACTTCATAGATTGATATCTCGGCTTATATCAAAGCCAAATCAAAAGCCGATAAAAAGGTGGAGGACATAACTAAATTTAAATATAATTATACACGGCGTACGTCTTTTTTCAAGATTCGTGTGCCCGCGCTGATGTTCAAGACGATTTGTTCTTCCAGTTTTTGGCCACAGAATATTTTCGTCCAAGAACATCAGCCTAGTTCCGTAAAGATAAAAGTTATAAAACCAGTGGGAGTGAGACTTCCCCATATCGGAACCACTGACCAACCTTCCACCTCTTCCTTGTCCACTAACCCAAAAAACTAGTATCATCACTAACACTTACCTATCAGAACACTAGAGGGCTCCGTAGAAAACTCCCTAAACTATATTTTGATAGTTCTTCCTTTGCATCCCATATTATAGCCTTTACAAAAACTTAATTAAAGCCGGAGATCTTTAGCTCCGAAGTTTTCCCAAGTAAGTAAACCACTTATAGACGGGATCGACCTCAGCGAAGGGGGAGTGGAGTCCTCATTTTGATAGACTCTACTCTTGCTTCTGAAGAGGTAAAATCCCAAAAGTTTGGTGACATCGAATTTGTTTGCGTTAAAATCACTCTGTCCGTGAAATCTTTATAAATTACATGTTCATATATACCGCCTATGCCTGAACCGCCCACATATTGGCAGCATTTGTCCGCTATTCGATACGTCTTTAATCTTATGACGGATCGTGACCAACTCGTAGCGGTGGGCGACTTTAACATCCCAGAACTAAAGTCGTCCAACGTCGATAATTCACCATCTTGGTCACTTATCACTCACCATGACTTCACCGCGGGCATGTTTGACATGTCCCTAGTTCAGATTAACCATGTTAGAAATGTTTTGTATTAGATCCTGATGGTACCGCTCTCTCCAGAGCTTTTCCCCTTTCAACCGCAGAGGATCTATATCACCCCACGCTGGAGGTCTCAATCGAAACCATTCCTGATATCAATCAGATGTCTCCACGCAAATAAGATTCGCTGCTTCCGTAAAGCTGATTTTCAGAAACAAAATAGCCTTATCGATACATACGATTGGTACGATATTCTGGTATGCACTGATCTTAACGTCACCTTAGAAAAATTGTACAGTACTTTAAATAAATTTTTTGACTCCTTGGTATACAAGATTCCTCACTAACCTAAAGAGGCTCTTACTAATATATAAAAAAACCTGCAGTAGTGTTGATTTTTGAAGATACCTACTAACTCGGTTGAATTTTACCGTGCATAACGCTGAATGTTATAGGAATTATATTGACCGCTGCCGGATACATCTTACTCAGTATCCAAAGCAGTTTTATAATTTTGTAAACACTAAGCGTAAAACCGTATCTGTATCGACCCTGCTTACGTTTGAAATTCCTCTGCAACCTCTGATCAGGCCATTGCCGATCTATTCGCAGAATTTTTTCAAACAACTTATTCCCCGTATAAATTGACAGATCAGCCTTACGCATATAACATTCAAGCAGCAAATCTTATTTTCTGTCCGTTTTTTTCTGAGAACAACTTATTATCTGGTCTTTTAAGGGTAAAACCCATTTATTCGCCAGGCCCCGATGGAGTACCAGGCTGTGTGCTAAAATACTGTGCCAGGGCTCTGTGCAAACCTCTTCTTAGACTTTTCAACTTATCTTCGGAAACCTCGATTTTTCCCCGTAAGTGGAAGAAATCATTCATAATTCCCCTACATAAAAAAGGGAAAAAGTCCGAGGCTGCCAACTACAGAGGCATCTCTAAGTTGTCGGCAATTGACCTTGATAACTTTCAAAAATGGTGTTTAGCTAATGATCTAATACTTAATGGATCAAAATGCAAACATATGTCTTTTTTATCGTTCTTGCCCTCTGCAAGCTATGTATTCTATTAATGGGATTGCCTCAAAAAAATTAACCCAGGTTAATGATCTCGGCATCCTATTAGACATCAAACTTAAATTTTCCGACCATATTTCATTAATGGTTAATAAGGCTAAAGGAGTCTTTGGTTTTATTAAAAGGTGGTCAAAAGAATTTAATGACCCCTATATAACCAAAACATTATTCATTTCTTTGGTCCGTCCTATACTGGAGTACGGTTCATGTGTCTGGAGTTCCCAGTATGGAGTACATAAGGACCGCACAGAATCCGTACAAAAGAACTTTTTAATATTCGCACTTAGAGGTCTATACTGGGATGCAAATCTTCAGCTTCCATCCTACAGTAGCAGACTTTTACTTATAAACTTACCTAGCTTAACAAATTGTAGGATAATGCTCGGTGTTGTCTTTCTGCATAACCTTATTAACGGGGATGTAGATAACCTTATTAACGGGGATGTAGATAGCCAGCATTTACTAACACGTTTAAAATGTAACATTCCTAATAGAAGGACCCGAAACTTTAGTCCTCTGTTCCTTAGCCATTGTAGATTTGTGGACAGACAATTATAATATGTACGTATAAATTTTTTGGGATGTACTACGAAGAAAATTTAGAACTTTACGATATCATTTTGGGTTATTATTATCATTTTGGGATCCTCGTTTCTTAAATGAGGGCTACATCAGCTCTACTGATGCCGCCTTACTGTGGTGGAGGTTTATCTGCAGGATTAATAGAGACATCTTTGACCAGCAGAGAGACCTCCTCTATCCCGATGCCTCTAAGAGCCCTTGCCGAATCACTCTTCTCCGACATGTACCCTTCCAGGATGTCCTTTTTCTCATCCGACATTCTTTCCGGGTGCCCCACTTGGGTCAGCTTCTCCAAGTCTGGCACTTGGACATCTGCCTCCAGCTCGATTGCGAGCCTCCAGTCTTTCTCCTGGCATTCGACTTGTAAACCCGGACCGACTTGTATCCCCGTGTCCCGTCTCCTCCAGATTCCTAGCGTGAGATCAACCTGCCTCCGTAGTCCCGCCGCATTAAAAGCCTTTAGAGTCTATTGAAATTAATAGATGAAAATCTTGTTTTGATTTTCTTTATTTTCTTGATTTTCTTTATTTTCTAAAATCGACGTTTGTCCAAAATAATACTCTGGTTTATGATCTTCTAAGTAACTACTTAAGAGGTATAATATGGTATAAATAGTTCAAACAGTGTATTTATAAATTTCGTTTCATAAACAAATACCGAATACCGAAAGTTGGTATCCGATGGTATAATTTCCTAGACTTACACTGGTTCAATACTTATTGCAGTAAATCCTTATAAATGTATAAATATTTTTAACAAGGTAAGTGGCGAATTCTTAAGAAATACCCTTTAAATTTGAATTAAATTAATATTATGTCAAAATATTATATCTTCAAAAAAACTAAAGTTGCTATTTTTACCAAACACCATTTTCGACCATTCAGTTATATGGCAGCTATAAGATAAATCGGTCGCTCGTTATTAAATTTTGCGGACGTAACGCGGACGTAACATTTTATTTGAGCCTTATTATAAACTTCCTGCTTATAATAAAAGGGCCCACAAAAATCGACACCAAGACTTCAAAGGCCTGCAGCCATTAACTCTTTGTTCCGGGAGATCAGAAATAATGTGCTCCAGACACCGAGGCTTAGTCCGAAAGCATCGGATACATTTGTGTAGTGCCTGAGTCACCGTTTTTCAATTTGCCAATTGGCCAATATTGGGACCGAATAATTGCGCACGAGGTCCCCCATGTAGATTTCGCTCCGATTCCGATAGCTTCTTGGCAGTATAATAGGATGCTGACTATCAAAGGCCTGCAGCCATTAACTCTTTGTTCCGGGAGATCAGAAATAATGTGCTCCAGACACCGAGGCTTAGTCCGAAAGCATCGGATACATTTGTGTAGTGCCTGAGTCACCGTTTTTCAATTTGCCAATTGGCCAATATTGGGACCGAATAATTGCGCACGAGGTCCCCCATGTAGATTTCGCTCCGATTCCGATAGCTTCTTGGCAGTATAATAGGATGCTGACTATCAAAATCCAATGAAAAATTTTTTAGACGATCGTCTACGCAACAGACCAAATTTTTCCAAGAAGGGATAAGATGAGGCAAGTGCATTGAATATCGCTATCTCCTTTTCACTTTGAAGCGCCTTTATGTCCTTCCAAAAATGCACACGCTGCTCAAGTCGCAATGTGCAATAAAAGCTTGGGTGTCAGACTTGATGTCGCTAGCCGTGACACCTTTGTGGCGTATTCGCTGAGTAAACTTGTATACATAAGCGAGTTAAACTTTGTGAAATTTCTGCCATCATCGAACCTCTCAGGAAAGACTCCCGATCTTCTTCAGGCATCTTATCCAGCACGTCAGCAAGTTGAAGCACCGCTTCCTTAAACGAAATTAGCCTTTGGTGAGGATCCCTGATGTTTGTTGCATTATGCTTATAGCTTCGTCTATAGAGGCACCTCCGGAAAATAGATCATCCACGCAGACGCAGAATTTCTGCCACTTTTGGAAACATTAATGCAAAATGCACTGATGCATTGCCCGAACTGTTAAAAATTAGGCTTCATTTCATAGGTGACAATATCCAGTTTAAAACCCTGCAACTCATCCAGGTTGGAATCCTGTCAAATAATGCACTGCAGATAGCTGCCCTTAGGAAAAACCCTGAAGCAACGATACATTTCGCAAATATCTCCAGTAATGACCACCTGTTAGCATGGGAACCATAACAGAATATGCAGCAACTTTGGCCGAATAACTCGACTAGATATCAACAGGTCATTCAATGAATATCCAGAAGTGGTATTCAGAGTGGCTAGTGACGCTCGTATCAGCAGGGACGGGAGTTACCATATATTACCCAACTCCAAATACTCCTTTCGATTAGGTTAGGTTGAGGCGGCGATGCGAGGGGCCAGTCACTGACCTCCCGAACTCACTTGACCCGCTGGGGTTCTTGTAATACTGAATGGGCGAGGGGTCTTCCAAAGGGCCTAATGTCCAAAAGGGGTCCTAATTCCTAAGGGGAACTATGAACGGCATAAGTCAAACTTGGTCTGTTCATAGTTAGTTATTTTCCATAGACGCGCCTAATTGACTCCCAATATCTCTAAAGACAATAGATGGAGTGGGGCATAACGTCTAGGGCGTCAGTTGGTTTGGTAGGAAGACTGTCTGTTATGCAAAACTCCGCCATCCTTTGCGCTTTGGTTTTGCTAAAAAGGTTTGCAAAACCTTTGTCCGCTATTTAATCCATTTTTAATCTCATGTCCGGTTGCGACCAGCTTGTAGCTTTGAGTAACCTTAATATAACTAAATTGAAGAAGAACTATATTGGTCTAATGTCGATAACTATCACTTACCACGCACCATGTCCCTAGTTACCCACATTTAAATACATTTTTTGACTCATGAGTGCCAGGGAAATATCCGTTCGCTTCAAATAATCCTCCTTGGTAAAGGCTGGTACAGGTACAAACTAAAAAACTAATAAAAACAGGCTAAAAAAACATATAAGAAAACCTACAGTAGTATAGATTTTTAAAGATACTATCTAGTATCTCGGTCAAATTTTACCGTGCTTAGTGCTGAAGGTTACAGAAATTATATTTGCCGATGCCGGATACAGTTTACTCAGAATCCGAAGCAGTTTTATAACTTTATAAACACTAAGCGTGAATATGTATTTATTCCACCTCTGCTTACGTTTGAAAATTCCTCTGTGACCTATGATCGGCCATTGCCGATTTTTTCGCAACATTTTTCAAACAAATTACTCTTCGCCTAAAACGACAGTACAGCCTTAAGCATACAACTTTTAATCGGCAAATCTTATTGTCTGAACGTCATTCTCCGAGAATAGCTTACTACCTGATCTTCTATGGGTCGAACCCGTTTATTCGCCAGGCCCCGATATAGTACCAGGATGTACTCTATGCAAACCTCTACATAGACTTTTCAAGTCGGCAATTCCAAAGTTATTTGAAGAATTTATTACTCCATATTTGGATCACCTTTGCTCTTCGATCATCTCTCCACGTTAGCAAGCCTTTATTATTAAGAAAGGATTTCAAACTGATGTTGTTTACGCAGACTTCAGTAAAGCATTTGATTCAGTCAATCTCTCACTCCTGTTGAGAAAACTGAATCTACTGCGATTTCCCATAGGCCTCGTAACGTGGATCTCCAGCTACTTTTATGGAAAAACACAAAGAGTCTTATTTAAATATGTAAATTCCCGCTTGGTCCGTGCTACATGTGGCGTCCCTCAACTGCAAGGGTATATCAACTTCGGCTTCGCCCAAAGCTAGTTTTCCTTTCTTGTTAATCTTTTGTCCGTCTTTCTGTTTCTACGCATAGTCTGTCAGTTTTAAAGCTATGTACTTGAAACTTTGGACACACCATTTTTTCCTTTGCACGCAGTATATAAAACGGTACGGCCGGGATCGGACGATTATACCCTATACCTGCCATATAACAGATTGATCGGAAATGGTATTTTGGTGTTCTTAGACTAAGAGAGTTAATATGACTTACCTTATTTCATAAGGATCGGCCGACTATAACTCATAGCTGCCATAAAGCTGATTGGTCGGAAATGGTACTTTGGTGTTTTTAGACATACTTTGGTGTTTGCGACTTACCAAATTTCATAAGGATCGGTCGACTCTATCTTATAGCGGCCATATACCTGAACGATTGGGAGTAGCAATTGGTGAAAAGAACAACTTTGTTATTTTTAAAGATAAAAGCTTGGTTCCTGTTGTTAGATTTTTTATTGAAATATATTGGTTGTATTATGATATTCTCATAAGGATCGGCAGGAAGTTTTTCCTTAAGGATGCAGATGGAAGTTCGGATTCCTCCCCGGACGATGTGTCGATGATGCCTTGAGATACATGCGAAGAGCAGTGTCGCCGCCAGCTCGGAATCTGCGTAGATTTTAAAGGAGCGTTCGACAATGTCGAATGGAGTGCTGCTCTGCGTCGAATCACCGACTTGGGATGATGCCCGCAGCGATCCATTAGTGGCCCATATATTTGGGATCTGCTGCGGCGCCTCCAGCCATACTGCGCTCTTAGCGCGTATGCGGATGGCCAGATGACCTTGTCGAGGGCAAATCCTGAGGCGTGCTGGAAGAAAAGGAGCGCCACTAATGTCCATGTTGCTGTGCCATGCTGTGATAATGCTGCTGGAACCCTCGCGCTCCGTGTGTGAGATCTGCAGAAGCAGGTCTTGGTATCACGGTCAAGGAACCCATGAACTTGATCATGCATATCGCATCGCTGCGTCAGCGAGTGGCCGGAGTCGTGGGAGCATTGGTGTGTGTGCTGCGTGCTGACTATGGTTTTAGTCCCCGCGCCAGGCGGACCATTTATGCCGGACTCATGGTGCCCTGCGCACTATTTGGTGCCTGGGTGTGGTTTTTCCTTACGACGCGGCAAGTTGTAGCCAGGAGGTGACTTGTCTGCTCCCTCTTACCGAGCCCACAAACTTCGGTGCCACGGGTTGGACAGTGTCCAAGCTCTACCATTGAGGTAGGCCCCCTTGTGGAAGTATCGTGGTGGCTGTGGTATGATGTGAATGTGAAGGTCAGTTGATTTGGGTCAAAGAGTGAAGGGGGCGCTTAGGGGCGAACCACGTGGAACGTAACGAGTTCCGGCCGCCCGTGGGAAGACGGAACCGACGTGGAACGTAACGGTTCCCGGAGCAGCAGTAAGACTATGGAAAGGTAGTCAAAGGTAGGGGGGTGGGGGTTAATCAGCACGCCGCGCAGGTGGATTTTGGCAAGTGTAGCGGGCCCTGAAAGTCCGCATAGCAATAGGAGAGGTCCGTGGCCGGGAGAGGTGAAGAGGCACGGACGGCAACCCGCCAACAGGAAAGTGGCGTGATTCTGGAAGCAGGACTAACGGCGGGAGCAGAATCCAGGAGGATTAACTGGCGCTCCAGTCAGTATAAAAGGAGGCCCATGGGAGCGAATCGGGCGAGTCTATTTAGGAAGCTTCGGAAGACTCCGAAGACTCGGGCGAGTCTTTCCCTCATAGTCCCTATATCCGGGAACCCATATAACAGGAATGTCATGTATCTCGTTCATAAATGTGCAAAAGTCATTCACTGTCCTAGAGTTAGATGAAAATCCGTCAAGAGCCGTGAGAAGATACAAATAGTTTCTTGGGGGCCAGAAAGTGCAGGATATCTAAGTGCTTCCATGATACCTATTGATTCAGATTGGAACACACTACAGTCTGAAGGACTCATTTGGACAAAGACGCTCGCAGTGGAAACCGCCTCCCACCTGGCACCTTC